GTTCATGTTTGCCAGTTTAAACATGCCTGATCCTGGGAGGAAAGATCATCCCTTTGTGAAAGAAAAACAGAGACAAGTGGACTCCCATTCCCTGAGACAGACTTGCTTGTAACTGATTGTATATATGCAGTACACATCAAATTTGTACTGCTGCTTATCATGATCTTAAATCACCAGGTAAGCTTATGTAGTTGCATGTTTCTAACTCGCCTTTTTGAGCTTTGAAGTTCTGGGAAAGGTGGTTCTCTATCTTATGTTTTTTGATATTTGATCTTTTTAGTGCAGGCATGTTTCTTTGGATATATGTATGTTGTGTTTTTTTTTAAATTAATGTTCCTCTACATTTATCCCTCTCTTCCACACAGAATAAAATGGAGGAATGTGGTGAGATGTCCCCGGCTCATCCTCTCTCCCACGGCCCGACCCCTTCACAGACTGCCCTGCAACATACACAGCTCATGCTGACCGGCTCCCAACTAGCAGGGGTAAGACAGACTTCCAACATATGCACACAGGCACACACTTTGCTTTGCTTTTACCTTGCTTGCTTCTCTGGTGCTGCTTTTTGAACACTTTGTTTCCTTCTTTATCTCCCCCTGTCCATTTCCCTCTTTTCTACTCCTCTCCTCTCCTTTCCTCTCCTCTCTTCTCCTCTCCTCCTCTTTCTCTTCGCCAGTTGACAGCTCTGTTGCCAGCACAGCAGCAGTTGTTGCTGCAGCAGGCTCAGGCGCAGCTCCTGGCTGCAGCTGTGCAGCAGTCCAGCGCAGCCCACGCCGCTCATGCTGCCCACGCAGCCGCCCAAGCCAATCAGCAAGCTCAGGCAGCCGCAGCAGCAAATCAGAAAGCCCAGCAGCAGCAGCAGCAGGCGGGACAAACAGGGCAGCAGGCCCAGTTGCAGTCCCAGGGACAGGGACAGAGCACACAGGAACAGACAGCCCAAAGTGTCCCTGTCCCACCTCCACCCCAGCTCACCCTCTCTCAGCCAATCCAGCTCACCGCCCAGGTACTGACTGCCAATCACAGCCACTTCATGATGAATGGCTTGATTGAGGAACCAGCCATGGAACAATTCTTCTTGCATGTCAATTGTATATTTCATGATTCACAGTTTCCACCTTGCATGAATGCACACATTTTCCATTTCATTTCTCTTACGTTATACAGTAAAGGTGTTTCCTTTCACTTCTTTGTTTTCTGTATGTCCAAATCTGCTGCTCTCAGCCTGAGATGGAAAACATACTAATTACTAAATGTTTGCGTGACTGAGCCCTCATCAGCCTTTATATTTTTTCTTCTCTGTCTGATGCGTCCATTTTCTCTTGATTGAACAGGACATCCAGCAGTTGCTGCAGCTTCAGCAGTTGGTGTTAGTGCCCGGCCACCCGCTCCCGTCTCCTGCCCAGTTCCTCCTCCCACAGGCACAGCAGGGCCAGCAAGGTTGGCAGGCCTCTTACTGGGATAGTTTTTTTAGCAGAAATAAGTCGGGGATGAAAACATAAAATCCACATTTTTATCATAAAAAATTGTTAATGTTCTTTATTTTTCCTTCTTAGGACTCCTATCGACACCAAATCTTATTTCGCTACCTCAGCAAAACCAAGGGAGCCTGCTGTCTGCTCCAACTAGAATGGGACTCCAAGCACAGGTATGAGAGAACTTTCAAGCTTTAGTCAGTGGAAAAGATAAACCCGGCCTCTGCACCAGTAATGAACAAACACTTCTGTCTCTCGCTCTCACTTTCATTCCTCTGACGTCGTACCTGCTACAGCGAGATAAGAGTGTGGAGGTGAGCGGTGGAGGCATGACCACGGTGCCCTCAGTGACCTCTCACCCCGAGGAACCCAGTGACTTGGAGGAGCTGGAACAGTTCGCCCGCACTTTCAAACAAAGACGCATCAAACTAGGCTTCACACAGGTAGGGAGAGACACCTACTGCGTATGGGTTCATGTGCAGGTTTACATTAGCATTGAATGTTTTGACATGTCTCCTTTCATCTCGCCACCAGGGAGATGTTGGCTTGGCCATGGGGAAGCTGTATGGCAATGACTTCAGTCAGACCACAATCTCCCGCTTTGAAGCCCTCAACCTGAGCTTTAAGAATATGTGCAAGCTGAAGCCACTGCTGGAGAAGTGGCTCAATGATGCAGGTGAGCTCTCATCAAAATAACATCGCTTTACATTTAGACAATTGTATATTTAAAGCATGTGCTTGTATGACAGTTGGTCTGATATTCTTATTTAATGTTTGTGTATGTTTTTCTTTCTTCTTCAGAGACCATGTCCATAGACAGCACCCTGCCCAGCCCCAGCTCCCTGTCCTCTCCCTCTATGGGCTTCGACGGGCTTCCTGGTCGCCGCAGAAAGAAGAGAACCAGCATTGAGACGAATGTACGTGTGGCCCTGGAACGTGCATTCATGACGGTAAGATAATTACCTTATTATTTCATTAAGAAAGCTTACATTTTTTTAAATATGAAATAAAAAGCTGTTTAAATAATTCATTCTAAAATTAATTAACATGTTTTGTGTTGAATGAATTGATATTTGCCTGGCCCAAGTACAAAACAACTTCTAATAATAGATTTTTTAATTTAACAATAACTGATTTCAACCTGCTTGATAATGTTTTTGTAGAGCTGACAAATGTAAATAAAGATGTGTGTATTTTAGTCATAAATGTAATCTAATAGAAACTATTGTAACCACAGAAGTTTTATATTTGAATGCGTCATCTTAATACTGCACAGTCATTTGTTGAGTCATTGTTTTTTTCTGAACTTTTAAATGCCACAGTCTGCACTTCGTGTCAATACAATTTTTTTATGTTTTTAATGTTTGGCGTTATGTGGTTGTTATATAGCACTCCCTAAATAATTGCAATACCTGTCTCCCTTCCTCCCTGCAGAACCAGAAGCCTACCTCAGAAGAGATCCTGCTGATCGCAGAGCAGCTCAACATGGAGAAAGAGGTGATCCGAGTCTGGTTCTGCAACCGCCGGCAGAAAGAGAAACGCATCAATCCTAGCAGTGCCACCCCTCCCCTGCCCAGCCAGCCCCCCACTGCCCCACCAACGCACAAACAGTCCTGCTACAGCCCTCACATGGTAAATATCCAACCTTAACGTCGCTGTTACACTTGTTAGTTTTAATGGAGACAAATACGTCACAGTTTTCGCAGTATGTTTCCTGTGTGTATTTTAATGGCTGGTTGATCATAAGCTGACTTTAGTTTCCGAAACCTGAATCCGTCTCTCTTTCTCTTTGCCAGATGTCCAGCCAGCTGTCGCAGGCCGTGACCAGTCTCAGCACAACAGTGACCACCATGTCCCCCGTCTGCCCCCTAACTTCCAGCCTCACTTCCACCCATCCCTCCCTCAGCTCCGCACCCTCCCCGGTGACTCCTCCTCCCCGCAGCACGGCCAGCCCCGCCACTCCCAGCCACAGCACACTCAACCTTAACACAGGGTAAGAGACTGTGAGACGTTTTGCAATACACCACCTGGGATTACCCAATACAGTCATTTCACAGCAGCTATGGCCAGGAAAAATGTGGGGTTGGTTGCGTTTGTTCACACAAATTATGAAAAGAAACCTTCTGAAACTGAAAATCCAACATTCACTTCCATTTCATGCAGCCAATGAGCAGGTGTGAGGAAAAAAGCTTGCAGGGTTTAAACTTTGCCATTTTTTTTCATTACTTTCACTATCACTATCTTTTCATGTGTACAAATAAGTGCAGCAACATTTTCCCCATATTTAAACAATTATTGTCCAGCTCTATGACAGATGGCTGGCTTCTCACTCCGTCTTTAAGTGTGGCTGTTTGTGACAACTACAAACACATTAGTCCTCCGACATGGTTCAACATATCGTACAAACTAGTAATTTTTTTAGCAAACCTGTGATTTCTGCCAAATACAGTGGAGGTAAATGGACTTTTGTTTGTGGTGTGAAATGTTAATTTGTATTTTATTTAAAAACATCATCTCAGCTCCCAGAAATAAATGTCCCTGTTAGCTGAAACACACTATGTTCAGTTTTTATTGGACCTACTTTCTACTGAAGAAATAGTCCCTATTAAAACTCCCAACGTTGTTTTCTAGAAATTATCCAGAGTAACTAATACAAAATGTGTTGCTGTTGAATTTTTTTAAATATAATTTTTTACTGTTCTGAGCACCACAGACAGATTTATCTCCAATGTATTGGCAGCAACAATCAGCAGCAATGGATATTGCAAAACATGAATAAATTAAGCAAAACTCACAGTACTACAAACCAGTTTGTAATTTGGGTGAACTGATTCTTTATGTATTAAAGCTTTGTTTGGTTTTGGTTTGAGGTAAAACTCATCTGCACCATAATATTTATTAAAAGGTCATTGTTTGTCTGATGTCGCCACCACACTTCAATCGATTTAGGCAAAACATTTAAACACACATAACCACACATTTCCATATACGGTACATGCTCACCATGAATGCTGCACTGCACCATGCTCGGTTCACCTGCAGTTTGTAGTTAAATGCTTTATACTGTACACACACAGTAATTGTTTGTGCTCACACACGCACACTGATATTCTAACATGCCATTGGGCAACCACTGCTTCCCCTTGTGCAGCAGTTCTTTATAATCCTCTGTGTGTTTGTGTGTGTGGTTCTTGTGTTCACAGCTTATGGCGTATGGGTAAAAAGAACGGTGACGTGTCTAACTACATCACCGATTTTGCTGCAAACTTGAGGTGAATACGACAGAGACACACACGTGCAGAGAACACAGTACAATACACTTTTGTTCGGCTCAGAATGCTGTGTTCTTGTTTTAAATCACTTCTCTCCTTTAACATGAATGCATACCTAATGAGACTTTTTTTCCCCTTCTGCATTTCTAACCTCTTGTTTACACCTGTACAGCCAACTGTCAGCAAACTACTGCTCTTTATATGTGCAGGGCTGAATTGCCCTCTGCTTGTCCTTGCCGCTAAACCTGCTTTTTTTTCTCACCTTTTCTCCTCTGCCTGTCTGTGTTTGTATATATGCTTGCACATGTATGGTGCTGTGTGTGTGTGTGTGTGTGTGTGTGTGTGTGACAAAACAGGAACACTGTGATGGGAGTTAACACAGGGATGAGCCAAGCCCTCCTCGGTAACAATCCCCTGGCCACCATCCAAGGTGTGTGTGTGAGAGAAAGAGACACTGAAATGGGTTTATTTCAGGAGAATGAAAAGAAAAAGACATAAAAGTTAGCATCAGCACCACTGATAAGCAGAATATAATTTAGAGGTCAAGGCTGAGGTGGAGGTGTACTTTATTATTTTATTTCTGCAAAGAATCTCAGGGTCAAAAAATACATAAAAATACCCAGAAAAGAGTTTTTATGTTCAGCACATTGGCAATACATTTCCCTCCTCTCAAACACTCACACAAACCTTTGTCTCTCATGCACTCCTACACATACATAAATTCCTTAAACTCAGCCACATGCTGTACACGACACATCCCCTCTCACACACCTTCCTACACTTGAGAACAATGCAAGAATAGCACACAGGGAAAAAAAAGTACAATCCTGCAGAAATGACCACCAAACAGCCCCAACCACCGTCAGCAGAGCTAATTTTTAATCATACTTTGTGGTGTGAGGGTGAGTAGGGGGAGAGAGATGTATTAAAAAGAGAAGTGTGATGATGACTAATACAGTTATGCATGGTAGGTGAATCAAATCGCACTTGTAGACTACAGGCTGGAGACATGGATGAATAGGCAAGCTGATGGTTTTTGCTCATCCACAGTATGAGAGACAGAGACTGACTTATTTCTCATATGTTGCCATCAACATCCATTAATTCATCCCATCAAGTGTCCGCGTGTGAGTGACGATAATTACATAAATGAGTGGGCTAAGTTTTTGTGTGTGCATCTGTGCTGTCTCATTCATCTTTCGCCTTTCATCTCTCCATTTCATCATCGGTCACGTCAAATTCATCAATGTTTTTTGCACTTCATTCAGTTGTTCGGAGGCTTTTATTTATTTTTATTTATTTACTCGTGAATATGGGCACTAGTAATGGACGTGGTGACACAAAACATTTAAAGCATCAATTTTAAATATTAAGTTTTGGTGTCAGAGCCTCAGAGCAAGAGCTACACTTTGGACCCACGGTTTCACACCACTTTGATGCTCAACACTCACACACCAAGAGATCGATCACTGAGGAGGCAGAAATCTCAGTTTCTTCACCAAAAGTAGCCTCAACAGACCATAATGCAGTGCACCCACAGGACATTTAGAGCTTTTGAGTATTAGGGCTGCTTAATGCATTTTCTGCCATGAATTAGAAAAATGTGTTTTGCTGTTGCTATGTGATCACAAATGTTATGAGGCAGCGTTCACATGTAGCATTTTGTGTGTGAAAGAAGCGCTGCACAAAGTGCCGTTCACATCTAATCATCAACCTTGTTTCCATAACAACAGACCACTCATGATAGCTTACCTGTTGCTGTGCTGTATCTGATCCCACAAGATTAGCTTGCTACAGATATTAGACAATATTCAGTTATTACAGCAAGCTGTTATCTCTATAGGCTCAGTGTTGGAATCATGTTTTTTTGAAAAGTTAAACATTTCTTATCTCCCATTTAAAAAAAAAAAGAGAAAGAAACCTAAAACGTACAGAGAAACTGCACTCTGAGCACCTTGTGGCCACACCCTGTGCTTTCCATTTAAAAGAGGTGGTGTTGGTTTTTCTTTTCTCTTTTTAATGACAAAAATATCAAACTTTACAATGAGACAAAGGAACGATAGCAAGGACAAAAAATAGAGTTAAGGATTGCATTTGTTTTCATTTTTAAAGGGTCTGAAGGAAGACAAGTAGGAAGTAGGATGTTTACACCCAAAATTTAGCTGACAAGGAGACAAATAATAACAAAAGCTATAAAAGTGTAATATTCCTTTAATCTTCGTCTCTTCTCTCTCCAGCAGCCCTAGCAGCCAGTGGTGGCCAGCTGCCTCTTTCCAGTCTTGAGGGGGGCAGTAAGGTGATGCTGGGGGCCTCTGGGGGCCAGGGAGGGCTCCACTCCTCCCTCTTCCTCAACCATCCCGCCCTCCTCCACATGGGCCAGAACCCCGGCGCTGGACTGATCAGCGCCGCCGTAGCCAAAGCCTCCCAGTCCTCCCCCTTCCCCTCAGCCAGCAGCATCAGCCCCACCCCTTGCTCCCCTTCCCCCTGCTCAAGCCCCGCCTCTTCCTGCTCCTCCAGCGAAATGGCACACAGCCCGCCCTCTCTGGGCGGAGCCAAGATTGAGTGACCGCGCCAAGGGCCAATCAGAGAGGAGGAGGAAGGAGGAAACGAGAACCTCGCCTTTCACACCAAAGCTATCTCTTTCTCTCTCTTGCGCTCTTCTTCCGTTATTTTTTTCGCAATGGTTCTCTCTCTCTTTCTCTCCCAGTCTTTCGATGCCAAAAATACACAGAATGAAAGAGGAGAGAGGGAGGGAAAGAAGTGAAAGAGGGGAGAAGGGGGGAAAGGGGAAGATTGAAACCAAAAATCTTTATCTATCCAGACAGATGGGGAGGAGGCAACGTGGGACCTTTTTGTCAATAACGCGTGATATCGGCATGGCGCCTCTCCACTCTTTCTCTCTGAAGGAAAACAAACCAATGACTCTTTAACAAAGAGACGGAAGAGACGGCAGAGATGCATGTCGGAGTGCATAAACCAAAAATGACAAAAGATAACTTTACTATGTGACAAAGGAATGGCGGCAAGGACAAAAAATGGAAAGGAGGACTGTGCTTACGTTTTCCTTTCGTTTTTTTATTATTTCGAAAAGCTGCGGGTCTGAAGGAAGAGGAGTAGGGAGGATAAGTTTAAACCAAAAATTTACCTGAGGAGGAGGCGGAGGAGGAATACACAATGACAAAAAAAAAAAAAACGACAACCATACCAAAATCCCAAATACCAAAAACCAAAAATACGGAGAGAAAAGCTTTATTCAAAGGACGTGTAAATACTGAAGCTATCCAGGACCAGGACTCTACTGCTACTGCTACTCACACACAAACACACACATCAAGAGCCAACCCATCTCGCCATCGACTCATCCTGTCTGTGTCAACTCATGTGTCTCTTATAGGTTTTCATGCTAGATATTTTAGATAATTTTGTAAAAGATTGTTACTGAATGAGTCAAGAGCTCATGTATGAATGATTGCCAGTTCTACTGTATCTTCTTATGTTAGTCTCTTTACCTACCTCTGGTTTTAGGAGCATAGAATAGCTTTTCCGCTCTCCTTTTTATTTCAGATTCCTTGACAGAGGCTTGTTATTCAGTATCTATTTTTTACACTTTGAGAAGAAGTACAGTTGGGATTTGTTTTTTAATTATTTATTAGTGTCATTTTACAATCCAGTTCCTATTTATTGTCGCAGCCTTTTTTTAGTGTTAGCTTTTGGGGTTTGAATCATCATCAGTGTCATCATCATTGTCTTCATCATATGCATTTGTGTTGTCAACATGCTTCTTATTTTTTTTTTTAATGTGACTATTCTGCTGGAACAGAGATGATGAAGGTGAAAAGTTGCTCATTTCAGTCCTCACCAAGTGCCATAGATCCAAAATAGAGCTGGCACACTGCAAGTTGATTTCAAGGTGTGAAGGAATTTTATTAAGACCTAAACATGTGACATTTTGTGCTCTTAATCAGACCACTCTTTCATCACTCTTTAAGATAACCCATTATCAGGGGACTCCATGGCTAAATGAACATGCCCTGGAAACTTCACACAGTGAAAATGACGTTTGTTAAGAGTGGCGACCATTTTGAAAGTATGAAATAGGGCTGTGATTGGAGATTTAAAGTAATAACCGTTGAGACTGAAGGCTAAATAAGTCAATAAAGTTTAGTCACAGCCAGCTCTCATTCCTGCCTCGTCAATCAGTGTAGACGCCCCCCGACACCTGTCTGTCTAGACATGTTTACTGATATTTGTTTGTTTCCATCATCACTCCATCAATCATATTTCACTGTCATTTTCCACCTCAAACTGCCATTAATTCTCAAATGGAAACCAAAGCATTCTCAAGGCTGTCTCAAGCTCTTTGTAAAGAGCCTCAGCCAAGACATATGAACACAATAAAGACAGAAGGGGAGAGGTGGGGGCTAAGAACAGGACGTTACCACTGGAGGCCCCCTGGTGTAATCCCCTCCACCTTGCCCGTCCAAAAACCCGCGGGGGAAGCTTTATTTAGGGAACTGATCCTTTACTCCAAACCCCCAGAAAGAAGGGTACACTGGGACAGGCGAAGGAGGGACACACTGTAGTGAGGGGAGCAGGCGTCACACTTTTTGTAAGAGGATACCAAAAATAAACCCAAACCAAAAAAAAAACACAACCCAAGGAATGACAGAAGCAAACCAAAAAGAACCCTAACCAAATGTGGCTGGAGGGAGGAGGGGAGGAGGACAAAGTGCAGGTGCTGAAAGCAGTGTATCTCTCTGTCTGTCTGTCTGTCTGTCTGTTAGCTTTAGGGCTGCAGCATTCGCCCCGCTCTGAAAACTGTGTAGCATGGATGGAGGGATGGATAGACAGGCAGATAGACAGGCGAGCAAAAGAAGGACAGACAATTCCTCCCCTCCTCTGCCTCTCACTCTCTCCAGCTCAGCTCTCTGGTCCTGGATGGAGCTAAACGCAAATGACCTCACTGAACTGAAATCTTCTAAAAATCTGTTTTTATTTTTCTGTTGGTTGGTTCTGATTGTTTTATCTCTGCTGTGTCTCTTGATGCTGTTTTATGTACTGTACTTTAGTGCTTATTACTCATTTGGAATAACGTACTCGCTTACTTACTACAAGAGCTCCTTATTTTTTTCGTAGTCGTGCTAGAGATTTTTATCAGGTGATTGGAAAAAATACTGTGAAAATTTAGCTTCCAGATTTTTATTAGATAAAGAAACAGACTGTCTTGGCAGAAAAAAGACACACAAAAAGCCAAAAACAAAGAGTTGAATAGCAAAACCTTAAAAATGCCAAACCAAATACTGAACCAAACCAAACACAGTAGAGAGGAACAGGAACTGCCTTCTCTGGAGAGGGCACAGAAATGGTTTAAGTCAATTTGTCTGAGGTGAAACTGTGCGTTTTTCTGTATGTACGTGATTATGGAAGGCCAAACGGTTAAAAAAAAGAAAGAAGAAAACTGAATAGGGTCTGCAGTGATGTCTTGTCATTAATTTTGACCCCAGCGACATAATATACGCTTCAGATACAGAAAAACCCACACAGCAGGGGCCTCAGTCAAGTTGACAGTTTTGAGAGTTGGAACGTAAACATATCCAAAGAATATTTGGTTTGATCCACACCAGAAAAAACAGTCGACACACGAGAATCGTTTCGCGAACCAAACTTTAGATGTGGGGTTTGCACCGTAAGGTGAAACCTTTTCTCCACATTGACTCTTAGACGGAATGTATCTGTTAGTGCTTCTATAGATTTTGTAGAAAAAAGATCTATGTTCTACTGCTTACTTATCGCTAATGTATTAAAAAGAAAAAAACGTACAAAAAAGACTTTGAGAAAAAAAAGATCCTAAAAAACATTGATGATAATAACTTGATTTTAGACCAAAAATTTTAACTATCTCTCTTTGGACTTTTTTATTTCTCCTTATTGCGATGATTTAGACTTTTGATTGTACTATTTATTCAGGGTAGGGTTGATTTATTTGCTTGTTATCTTCTTTGTCTTTTTGCTATTTATTTTTTAATTTATTTTCTAGAGGTGCTTTTTTCATATTCTGGGATGTACTTGTGATTGATTTTTTTAATTTTTTGTTGTCCCCTGCTGAAGTTCTTTCTTACTTCTTTAAACCAAATAATACCAGAAATGCAACCACAGGTCCTGTAGGGACTTAATAAGAGAATATGGCCGATTGGATGATCAGCCATAAAGATATTCTCTTCCTCACTGAGACAACTCTCCTCTTAGAGGGGAGGGGAAGCTCACAATATCAAGAGGCAGCACTGTATTGATGAACGCCTCATAATTTACTTTTCAAGGGGAAAAAAGGAAACTGGTGTTTTCTTTCCGGACAGACACATGCCTTTATTAGGCAAGTTGAAATCCTGTTTTAATGGAGAAAGCATAAATATAATTTCTGTGTGTAAAACTGCCTGAGTTACAGCGTGAGGTGTTCTTTGAAACGCAGTGCTGCCTCTGTTCTCTCTATATTTTCTCCACGGGGAGAACACACTGAAAGCTTTACAGCTACACAACCAAAAACACAAAAGAAGAAGATCAACCGGGGCAAAGGCTAAAGTTTTTTACATGACAGAGAGGAAAGACGGAGGCAAGAGAGAAGAGGGTGATTTTGGATTCCCAGCCTTAAATTGCCCTCTAACTTCTCACTTTGTCTCACTGTCTCTCTCTCTCTCTTTCTCTCTCTCTTTCAGCTTTTTGTCTCTTTTTGTTTCCACTTTTCTATAAGTTAACTTTTTTCTTCATCCACTATAGGATGTAAAAGAGAGATAGTTCATCATATACCTCATATTCTTTGATGATAAACCAAATAGATGAATGCTTTAAAATGCGGGGTTCAAGTGGGGATCAGGGGGTACTTGGATGGTACGTGTGGACTGTGTGTTAGTGTGCACCGGGAGCAGACACAGTTAAGGCTAGGTCAAAGATCAAAGGTTGTTGTCCTAATGGAGGTAAACACAAAGGTTTTGGATTGATCTGGGAAGTAACAGATCATCGAATAGATTGCAGTTTTTTCTCCATGGGATTCAGAAGGTGCCATTTAAGGTCAAAGGGCCGTTACTGGTTCATGCTCTGGTCTACACACACACACACACACACACACCTTGTCCCCCTGGAAAACACTCCCCGCTGTCTGTGTTGAGCTTTGAACACAGCCCTCTCCTCATATCTGACCCTCACTGCTTCCTCCCTGTCAAACACGGACTGTGGGTTTAAAGCTGCTCTTTGGCACAGATCTAGGATCAAATCTGGATCAATTTTTGGCTTAAAAAAAGCTTCGAGAGCCTGAGAGCAACTTTATCACCAAAGTCGCCAAAAGCCCTCTCTCGCCTTTAGGTCTTTATTGCCTGATGAGGGGGCATATTGACCAGTTGATGTCCATGTGTATCAGGGAGTGCCGCAGGGCAGGTATCTGGGGAACGGCTGAGACCGGCATTGCTAGGTGACGCGTACAAACACTCCTCTGTGTGTTGAGATGTTGGAAGCTGGAGGGAGATGTATGCATGTCATCAAACTGACTGAATCCTCCCCCAGAGGCCATTTTCTTGTTTTGCTCTCTCTGTGTATTCAGAGAAAATGGAAGCAGTGTTTCTGACCAGGCACCTTTTTTTGTGTACCTCAGGGTTTTAGTGACCGGGTGTAAAGTGTGGATCTCTGTGGTGGGGATACCCCCTTAGTGAATGATACCAAAGTTAATGCCCTGCCATGGGATCCTGCATGATGTACACGCTCCCTTAAATCCTGATGTCCACTCGAGTGTTCAGAAACTCCTCTTTTCTCTGGTTTACACGCCAGCAGATTCATTAGTATTTCTCTCTCCACACAATAACATCTCACCATGTCTCTGTGGGCAAGACAGACAGGATCAGAGATGTGCCTTTACAACAACATCTAGAAAAGAATCTTTAAAGGAATAGCTCAACTTTCTGGGAAATACGGTTATTCATTGTCTTGCCAAGGGTTAGATGATCATGTCTGTAAGGTAAATATGAAGCTACAGCCGGCAGCCAGTGGACACGACAATACTCCAGGAAGTCACTGAGGCTGGCCACAAGTAGTTCTAGCACCTCAGTCCCCATACAACCACACAGTGTTGTTTTTACACTTGGGTTTTTGTAAACATACAATATAACATCTAAATTACTGAGCTATAGAGGTGCTGGTCTGTGGATTAATGTTTAATACTATCTTCAGACTAAACATACTATGCCGAATCAGTAGCTTTTAGCTGTGGAGCGCCCCTCACTGGTGACTGAGAGCATTGGTTTTAGCTCAGCCTTGATTCACAGTACGTTACGGTCTGGTTTAAGGCTTAAAGAAAGACACAGACACACATAAACACATAAACAATTATGATTTGATAAGTGTTGCAAAGAAGTGTCTTCAAAGCTATTAAATCTTAAAAACAGAGCTTGTTTTGGCCCCCTAAACTAAAAGCAACAACTTTAACCAGCAACAGACTGAGCTTTTACTGCACTTAATGAAGACAGAGTTATGAATGATGATGCATTTGTTTACTGCTGCACAACCTGAAGTGCATTTGAACTGTAATCCATTCACTTATCTTATCTTAGACAAACAGTGAATATAGTCAGGGTCACAACTGTTTGAACTGAACTGAAGGAAATCATTTGAATCAGCAAAGTGATTCATAATTTACAGCTCATTTGGACAGAGCCAGACTACCTGTTTCCCCCCGTTAGCTTCAAATATCTGTACAAAGATATGAGTGGTATCAAACTACTCATCTAACTCTTGGCAAGAAAGCAGATTTCCCAAAATGTGGAGCTATTTATTTAAAATGCAAGAATCAATGTTTAAGCTTCAAAAAGCTAATATCTCCGGACACGAAGGCATGAGAGATGTCATTGTTGTTGGAGAACGAGAGACACAGCAAGCAGAACAGAAAACAAGCTGCTACGTCTTCCTCCACCCACTCTCATCCACACATACACGCTCTTCCTCTTTCATCCCTTTCTTCTTTATCTCTCTCTCTCTCTCTTCTACAATACAGCTTTAGTCCAAAGGTTTCTCCAGCAACACAGCAAAGCGAGTCAGATGTTAAAGAATAAAACCAAAGAGCTCTAACTTGACCTTCTCTTCAACACAAAGCCCTCCACTGCATCCTTCACCTCTATCTATCCACCTCCTTCCTGTCCTTCCTTTAGCTCCTCTGTCACCTAGTGAGCCGGTCTTTGAAGCATTAACCTCAGCTATCCAAAGGGGAATAATAATAATGATAATAATGATGATAATTAAGATGATGATGATGAAATGTATATTTTTAAGTATTTGTCATTGGAAAAATAATCTTAAGCTTCTCATAATTATGATGATCATGATGACGACGATGACGACGACGATGATGATGATGATGATAATGAAGTTTCTCTTGGTATCTTTGTAGCTGTTCTGATCCTTCTTAAGTTCTTGTCCTTTCTGCTCGTGCTGCCAGAGAGTACTGCTTAACTCCCATCAGCCCTCTCTTACCCCCCCCCCTTTTCATTTGATTTACCTGATGTTTGGTCCTAACGTCTACCTGTCTGACCTTTACCCCTGGATATTTGTCTATGCCTGTGTGAGTGTGTGTGTGTGAGTGAGTGTGTGTGTGTGTGTGTGTGTGTGTGTGTGTGAGTGAGTACACTAACAGT